TCTCTCTCTCTCTCTCTCTCTCTCTCTCTCTCTCTCTCTCTCTCTCTCTCTCTCTCACACACACACACAATGCGTGTATGTATCTATCATATGGAAGTTTCATATATGTATACGTTACATCACTTGTCAACAGCCATCCGCCATAGCCTCTCCTCCTGCTACTTCTCTGAATTCAGACTGACACGTACACCCACACAGTAGAGCATATTCCGATACCAACATGGGCGGCGTCGATGGACCTTGCGGATCCGTGGAGGAGTTCCTCAGCCGGTGTCAGACGTCCGGCGACGCGGCCTACGTTGCCCTCCGATCACTCCTCGAATGCCTCGAGGACCCGAGTACCCGGACCGGTGCCCGGATCTTCCTGTCGGAGCTCCACAAGCGATTCGGCTCCAAGGAAGCCTCCGAGAGCTGTCTCCGGACCTACCATTTCCAAATTCAGGACATCTATCTCCAACCACACGAAGAAGGTAACCTCGATATCTCGATAATGGAAACACATTTTCGTAATTGTATTTGTCTGTGAGCGGATGATTCGGGTTGCGATTTGAGGAAGAGTTCCGTTTGCCGGCAATTTAAGGAACAATTCAGGCTGTGAATTGAAATGTGTTGATAAAGTGGTTTGTTTTTGGATTTTCGCGATGATGATTGGGTGAAGTGTGGTCCAGAAAATATATATGCATACTTCCAAAAATGAGTGATAGCAGATAATGACCCCACACCTATGTACCTTACTTTTTTTTTTTATCAGTTTGTGTTGTTATTTTCGGATTACAGGAAATCAGTGGCTAAATGATGTTTGTTTTGGACAAAACTGTAATTCTATGTGGCTTCCTGTGTGCTTAACTTCAAATTCTGTTGAAGATTCACTTGATGGCTATAATGGATTAACTTCTTAAATTTTTTTGACATCTGCCAATGCTAGCATATCGAGTCGAAGTAATATACTGTATTTCCATTGGAAAGTTTGGTTGGAAGTTACTTCAGCTTGGGCTCCACAACAGCTGGGGATTTATGTTGTCCATTTTAAGAGTTCTCTTTGCATGAGCTTGACTAGAGGTCTTGCTGCAGTTTTCAAGCTCTTTAGGGTTGTGTGGCTTATTAGGAGCAAGTCTTTTTCAGTTCTTCGTGTCTACCTCTCCTACTAATACCGTTGTTCTAAAGTACAAACGAAATCAAGCAACTTGAAGTACCATTTTTTTTTTCCGAGACGTGTATCTTATTTATGCTTGTTTTTCCATTGTTGTCAAATTCAAATTGCTGAGTTAAAAACAATTCCATCTACTTGGTTGTCCAGATGAGCTTTTCCTCTATTGTTTCTTTAGGCAGTAGAGCAACTAAATCGCTAGTTAGGGCAGTGATTTGAGATGAATTTATGCTTACTCTTTTAATACTTGTAGGTCCATTCTCATTTGTTTCTGCTGTTACAGATTTCCAGAAGAGGAAGAAACTTACAATGATGGTAATTCCCAGTATCTTTATGCCAGAGGACTGGTCTTTCACCTTTTATGAAGGGCTAAACAGACATCCGGATTCAATTTTCAAAGACAAGTCTGTAGCCGAACTTGGTTGCGGCAATGGATGGATATCCATTGCGATTGCAGAGAAGTGGTCACCCTCAAAGGTATCTGATTCCTTGATCTTGCATTTGGTTGCTCCGTTAATGACTTTGCCTTTTGTTGCTTCTATCTTAGTTCATATCCTGACACCCTGTGTTATTTTAAACTAATGACTAATAGAGACCAAATGACATGTGGAAAAAGGTTATTAATGCATTCAAACACTATTTTGCAGGTATATGGGCTCGACATAAATCCAAGGGCAATAAAGATTTCTTGGATAAATCTATACTTGAATGCTTTGGATGAAAATGGCCGACCAATTTATGATGGAGAGAAGAAGACTTTACTTGATAGAGTTGAGTTTCATGAATCTGATTTGCTGTCTTACTGCAGAGACAACCAGATTGAACTTGAGCGAATTGTTGGATGTATACCACAGGTAATTCGTCAATTTAATGAAATGTCAGTGTGAGTTTTATCAAGTGAATGTACTTCTCATGGTTGCATAAGTCACTTTTGATATGACATACATTCTTATTCTGGAGTTACATAAATATTTTATGCAAGCCTCGGTAACATTTTGATTATATTTTCTGTGCAGATTCTTAATCCTAATCCAGATGCAATGTCTAAAATCATTACAGAAAATGCCAGCGAAGAATTCTTACATTCTCTAAGCAATTATTGTGCCCTCCAGGTTGGAGGCTTGCTTCGCATCATTATTTTCAAGTATATCTATTGTAAAGTTGGCAAATCTTCATGCTGAAGTAAACAAAAATTACACTTTATTTATATGATGTTATGTTTTTTGTTGGATATATGTGTATGACATTGTGAAGCAGCTCTGAAATTTGCTGCATGGAGCTATATATGGACTTTGACATAAGTTCATTTTACTTTGTTCATTCCTTCTCCTTTAGTATTTGAATCTAGTTATACGGACCGATAATAGACCACTTCCCGTTTAACATTATTTTTTCAAACTACATGTACACAAAAATACTACGCGGTGGAACTTTTAATGTAAAATCTTCATGCTCTTTCTGTCTTAAGAAAATGAGAAAACTGTCTTCTATGGTCAAAGATTGCTGTTCTACATGATGAAGATGAACACATTTTTGTAGTTTCTAATAAACATAACTGCCATAAGATGATCTCATTTCCATGCCTCCAGGCCAAAACGTAACTTTGTTTAGCGTACTTGTATTATCCAGAGTGTACTCAGTACTCATTGATGCTTCATGCTGGAAATTTATCTTTGTCGTCAATGGGCATTTACTCTTATCCTTTCTATTGCAATGGCTACACAACGAACAATCTGTTCATTCAAATGCTAAAAGTATATATCACTTTGTATGCCTTTCTATGCACGTCTGAATAGAAGCTTAGAGTAGTTGAGTTTTACTATTTCATTAAGTATTTCATAATCCTTAGGGCTTTGTCGAAGACCAGTTTGGTTTGGGACTGATTGCAAGGGCTGTTGAAGAAGGGATATCTGTAATAAAACCTCATGGGATCATGATCTTTAATATGGGAGGCCGTCCAGGACAAGCCGTATGCGAGCGTTTATTTGAGCGCCGTGGTCTGCGTTTTAATAGGCTTTGGCAGACTAAAATTCTTCAGGTTTTACTCTTAACTTGCTGGGTTTGATGATACATATGAAAGTACATATCTGTAAATATCTCTTGGTTCAGGCTGCTGACACAGATATCTCAGCACTAGTTGAGATCGAAAATAGTAGTCGACATCGTTTTGAATTCTTCATGGGGCTTGTCGGAGACCAACCAATTTGTGCCCGAACAGCGTGGGCTTATGCCAAAGCCGGCGGGCGTATATCTCATGCTTTATCAGTATACAGTTGTCAACTTCGTCAACCTTGTCAGGTGAGATGTTTCTCCATGCGCTTTTGTGAGTACCGATCATCATATAGTAGGCACTTGAGGCATTGTACTGATCCTTCTCCTTTAACAGGTGAAGAAGATTTTTGAGTTTCTCAAAAATGGATTTCATGATATCAGCAGCTCTTTGGACTTGTCTTTCGAAGATGACTCAGTTGCCGATGAGAAAATTCCATTCCTAGCTTATCTTGCCAATGTTCTAAAAGAAATTTCATTTTTCCCGTATGAACCACCTGCTGGAAGCAGAAAGTTCCGTAGTCTCATCTCTGGCTTTATGAAAATATACCATCATGTTCCACTTACTGCAGATGTAAGGAAGTTTCTATTTCAGTATATCACGATATTCTTCTTTGTTGTGATTAAGATTTCTTAACACTTTTGGTGTTTGCTTCTTTCTATATATTTCACTCTTATGACACGCTATTCTATTATATGGTTGCATCTTAATTCTTCCGTCTGAATAGTCTAATAAAATTTTTTAGGATGCCTTACAATGTAAAATCATTGGTACTGTCTAATTTATTCTGTGCTGTTTCTGTCGATCAAGAATGTTGTTGTGTTTCCTTCAAGGAGTGTGGCTATTGAAAGCACTTTACGCGTTTTGTCCCCACGCCTCGCCATTGTAGATGAACAATTGTCTCGACATTTACCAAGGCAATGGTTGACATCCCTAAATATTGAGGTATGGTGATTATGAAAGTTTCCTTGTACTATTTTTCTGATCTCCGTGTGCTGCAAATTGTTAAAATTCGGATGAAAAATCTGCTTGTCTTCCCATCCTTTGAGTTTGATGCGGACTAATGCTCATGATAATTTGTAGTAACATCGTAATAAAATCAGGTTATGTGCTTTTATTAAAGAAATGATAATATCAACAATAAAACAGAGTCAGCAGACGCAGACAGGATGAAAGTAAAGCTCTGTTCATGGAATGTAGAAGGAATTTAATAAAAAGTTACTAGTTTCAAATATTGTTGGCTATGGATTTCCCATTTCTTAGACTTTTCTGTCGTCCAAGGTGACCAGTGTGATTGTTTTGAACTTCCATTACAAACTTGTCGTATTATTTAACAGTTTTCTCATGCCCTTAAAAGTTAAAAACAACCTAGACATGGATCATAAGCTATGTACTTTATGTGCTGAGAGATGTTTTGTTTACTATTTTGTACAGGAAATGCTTGTTTGGTTTAGCTATAACAGACATAGCTATAAGTTACTATTCTGCGACAACAAATTATACATCTTGAGGTTTCCTTAGTATAGCACTAGCACTTATGGACCCCAGAAAAGAATATTAATTGGTCTTAATAATACTTATATCCCTTCACATTTAGCATAATGCATTTGCATACTTTGGAAATGAACTTGAAAATTCTTGTTAATCCCATTTGACATCTTAAATTCCCTCTGCAGAATGCAGAAAATGGAAAATCTGTGGAGGAAGCTATCACAGTCATCGAGGCACCACGCCAGTCAGATTTGATGGTAGAGCTGATTAAGAAACTGAAACCAGAGGTAGTAGTTACTGGAATGGCCCAATACGAGTCAGTCACGAGTTCCTCATTTGAGCATCTTTTAGACGTCACAAGAGAAATTGGATGCCAGTTGTTATTAGATATATCAGACCACTTTGAGCTTTCTAGCCTCCCAAGTTCCAATGGGGTCTTTAAATATCTTGCTGGAAATACTCTGCCTTCACATGCATCTATCGTGTGTGGCTTGCTGAAAAACCAGGTACATAAACTGCTGTTGATGCTATGGGTGCTGATTAAAATATTTGAGACACTCACTACAGTGAAGTTTGATTACTAAAGGATAAAAGAACACTCTTTAAAACTGAAAATATCTCAATGAGATTTGTTTTGATGCTACACTTCAAGGAGATTTATTGTAAGAAAAATGCTACAAGTACACAATCTATCTATAACTCCCTTAAAAGAGTGAGTTAGTTTCTTGAACAATTTGAAATGCCCATATTACCCTCTATGAATCTAGCTTCTAAGTACATAAAGGTAATTTCATCATTTTAAAAATATCTACTCCTCCACAATACATTTCATCATGTTATTAAAATAATCCAATACATTAATCATATCTGTTCCTCATTACTTTTCATTTTTTCTTTTTTATTATTTCATTTTTATTATTTTTAATTTTATATCTAATAATATCATCCTTACTACATACTTTACTCCTTGGATTAGATTAAATTAGATAGATAGATAGAATATGAACAATTAAATTTGTTTCAAATCACAAGTTTATAATGTTTAACCACACTGATATTATTTATTTATATAAATTTCTTAAAAATATTATTCAATTTTAAAAAATAAATAAAAAATACACTTACTCCTTAAATAAACAATTGCACAAATTTATAATGTTTAACCACACTGATATTATTTATTTATATAAATTTCTTAAAAATATTATTCAATTTTAAAAAATAAATAAAAAATACATTTACTCCTTAAATAAACAATTGTGGCAAATATTTATCTATTTATTTATTATATTTATTAATTGTAACTGCAATAGCCTACCATATGTTTCCAACGTCAGTATTCATTAATTTTCTAATTAATTGCGGAAAACTATCATTTTCAAAATTATTATACAATAGGAAGACTTACGGTCACTACAACATTCACCATCTGTTCACTTTTCTGTTCCTTATTATCACTTTTATTATTTTTTTCCCTGCTTAATTTTATATCTAATAATCTCATCCTATTATTCTTATTAATTTCTGCTTACAAGTTTTATTTACTTTCCTTCTTCAATGTTGTGCATCCCATTTTGCGTTCTCACTCTAAGTTATGGTTGTCATATTGAATGTTTAGTCTACTTAAATTTTACTACCTCAGCTACAAGTTGGAAAATTATATCTAGATGTCATCTCAATAATTAACACTCTAATTTTGTCTGCTAAAAGATGGCATCTCCTTTTTTGGACGGAAAAGTTTTCAAGGATTTTCAAGGCAGTACCCTTATTTTTATTCCGTTTCAGTACCCTCATAAAAAGATAAGTTTTAAGGTTATTAATGTAATCTTTTTTATTATGTTAGGAAGTTACAACTTCTATTTATTATCTTTTATTTTTTATGCTTAATTATATCTTTAAGTTCTTACACATACAAAACATTACTTATGCAAATCCATATATTTTAAATAATTTTTTATTCTTAATTATATTATTCTGAATTAATGTACATATGACGTTAGGTTTCGATTTGGTTATTCTAAAGGTAGTTTTAAAATGTAAGAGAAAATTTATTTTAAGATTTTTTAAATATAAAATATATGATATTTCATAAGTATAAAATATTAATGCACAAGTATCTTTAATTTCTAAATATCATATTGTTTACCATACAAATTTTTGGTTATAATATTAAAAAATTAAAAAGGAACAATTTAGTGAACATGTATATGTTTAAAAATGATTGAATCAAAGATAATTATTCAACATACAAAATGTCAACTTTCAATGGAAAAAAATTATTTGTTAAGTAAAAAAGATATGATCTTAACAAAAATAATCGTTTAAATTATTCACTAAATCAAAATGCATAATATGATTTAAGTTTACCTCTTTGTTAATAATATATATAGTATAAATGTTCATATATAATAATGTGTTACATAAATTAAAATATAATTTACTGAATTGTAATATAAATAAAAATAGATTAATTACATAATAAAATAACTAAAATTCTACTTTAAATGTTAAATTTTACAATACATGTACTTATTAGAAAATAATTACAATTAAAATTAAAATATGATTTAAGTTTACCTCTTTGTTAATAATATATATAGTATAAATGTTCTTATATAATAATGTGTTACATAAATTAAAATAGAATTTACTGAATTGTAATATAAACA